ATACAAGAATCAACCAATGAATGCATAAATAAGTGGAACAATAAACTGATGTCTAACTCTCTCTGCCTGCCCCTCCTCTATCTAAAATCAATCAATAAAAAAATTGGATGATGACAGTACTTAACTCTAGGAAGATAAACTCAAGGCAAATAAGACTGTCTCAAGTTGACATTTTGTCTGTAATTCAATTTTATCTACATTATTTTAAACCCTCACTTATTATTTTAAAACTTCAACAGAAAATGAAAAGAACCCAGTTTAAGTTTTTGTTGTTTTTTATTTATTTTTTTAATCCTCACCCGAGGACATTTTTGCATTTATCTTCAGATAGAGCTAGAGGGAGAGAGGGAGGAAGAGAGAGAAATATCGATGAGCGAGAGACACATTGACTGGTTGCCACCCACGTGACCCACCCAGGGCCGGGGACAAACTGCAACCGAGGTACTTGCCCTTAGCGGGAACCGAATCTGGGACTCTCTGGTCCGCAACCCGATGCTCTAACCGCTGAGTCAAACTGGCCAGGGCTGCTGCTGTTTTTTTTTTGTTTGTTTGTTTTTAAAGAAGCCAGTCACACCAAGCTGGATTTTGAATGGCGTAGCCATCGTCCCTATTACTACAAGTTAGGATTCAGAAAAGAAATAAACCTTCCTTTATTTCTGCTGTTCAACAAAATAACACACAAAATTTTTAATTCCAAATTGGTACAGATGAATGTGTTTTGCTTTTCATTTTTATTATCCAGTCAATAATCCCATATATTAAGGGAAGCCTCTTTAAAAAGTAGAAATAATTTCTAAAAAGGGGGCAAGAATAAGTAGTGTTTTTCTTCTGTAACTGTACTTCAGATCACAGACAATTGTGGAGTTATAAGATGGTCCCTTACACAATAAAGAATCAACCTCTATTAAAAATACTAGGCTATTGTATGAGGAAGTATTTTTAATATTTTTCTAAGCTTCATTAAAAAAATCTAGGGGAAAAGGGGAATAAAATAAATGAAATAAGAAAACCTTAATTTCTATTCCCCTTAATTTCTCTAAAGGACAAAGATTTTTTGAGATCAAAATCCTAATTTTAGTTGAAGTTATGTGAAGCAAACAATTCATTCTTTTACGACAACATGAAAAGTCATAGTTTAAGTACAAACCTAACTCCCAGCTCCAAAAGACATTTTCACTTAAAATATTTCTGTTAACTTGATATACATGTCCCAAGCAAACTGATTTTTTCCCCCCTCATCCTCACTCGAGAACATTTTTCCATTTTTTGTTCCGATAGAGTGGGGGGGGAGGATAGAGATAGAGAGAAACATCAACGTGAAAGGGACACATCGAGTGGCTCCCACCCGCATAACCCAACCAGGGCCAGGGACGAACAGCAACCGAGGTACATGCCCTTAGCGGGAACCAAGCCTGGGTCTCTCCGGACCGCAGGCCAATGCTCTAACCGCTGAGCCAAACCGGCCAGGGTGCAAATTGCTTTAATGAACCTATTTTAAGGGCATCACTATTCTCCTGGAACCCTTAAAAAACTCACTCATTCTTAACACCCCACTGATGTACTGTTTAGAACAGATTTTTAATAATTTCCTTCCTTAAATATTTAAACTATGCCCTGCTGCTCTTCCTGTACCAGTCTTTGTTCTTTGCTAAAATCACTTTCATTATGCCACTCCCAGAATTAAATAATCAATGGATAGCTTCTTACTGCACATTGGATCAAGTCCACATTTATAAATTCAGAACTCAAAACCCTTCATTATCTGACTACATATTTAATCAAATCTATCACCTCTCACTATTCCAGCAACCTACTCATTGTCACATCTATACAATCACTATTCATTTCCCGAACATAAGCTCCAAAGTAAATTTCACATACATACCACGTAAAGCTTTCCCTTTCCCATAGCTCACAGAGCTCGATTCCATTTTCTGAATTCCGTATTAATTTTATCACCGAGCACTTGATTATGTACTTACTTTACCCAGATTTGAGCTGTCAGTCATCTCAAATAAGACTTCAAGTTTTTTTTTTTCCCCTGAACATCTGGCCTTTATAGTAAAAAGGCAGCAGATGCTCAGTTTCACCTCAGGCAGAAGGGAATTTTGGTTGGTTAAGTTGTAAGGTTACTTATAACTAAATTGAGTCAATTATGTTTTCTTTCCTAAAGTTCTTTTACTCCAGCCCTTTAAAATGGAAGCGACATTAATCTATAATGGAAAATTAAGTTCCCGTAATTGTGTTTAGCAAAATCCACTAATGATTTGGAGACACTTAAGTATAGTGCACCCTTTTTAAAAAAGTAAATAAAAAAATATACAACATAGTGTTGTATGCAATGAGCAAATGATTGGGACTTGTACATCTCAGATTCCTGGCTGCACGGTCTTCTGGGCCAGTTTTTAATTTCTAAAATGGTAAGAGAACTCCAGCCCTTGAAAAATTAGTGTGAGAAGTAAATTACAAAGTGTATTCAAGTTTTCGGGTGGTTGGGGTGGGTATAAATTCTAAAATTCTGTAAAAGCACAAACCCTTAGTCTTAGCCCTGTTTCTTTAATGTGTTCTGCAGTCTCTAGAAAGTTGCCCTCTAAATCTAAAGACCTTTTCAGAAGATCGGATTAATATGTGCTGTTTATACTTGTAGGCAAAGCAAATAAAATCTGAATACTGACCTGTCGATTTTCTCTAATTTAATTTAGTAAAAAAGTTTGAAGTACAACTACTTAAATACCTTGAAATCCTTTTTTTGAGCCTTTCAAAATTTAGATACAAAGATAAGAACATAACAATTGTATTCTATAAAAACTTTAAAACCTGTGCTGGTTTTGTGGCTAGCAAATTATCACCATACTTTAAAAACCAAATGTACTAGTGAAATGCTTTAAAAAAAAGAATTTTAAAAAGAAAATATAAATCCTCATAAAAGCTTCTGGCATTCTTCTAATTCTTTAACAAAGTACGAATACAACAATTACCTTAACCTACAAAAAAAAAAAAAGAAGGGTAACAGGTGAGCATGGACATATTCATTCAATCTGAATTCACTTACACTAAAATACTTGGGGATCATGTGTGAAACAGTATTTTCTATGACCACAAACACTATAAGAAGGGGGATGGTGTAAACTCTTTTTCTATTAAAATTAAGTAATGCCTACATACATTTTAGCTCAAAATTGAGTGAGAATCTTACATACATTGCATATATTTTATTAGGTGGGTGAGGTGACAATTATCTTAAACTTGCTCCATTCCTCAACTCGGTAACTAATTAAAAAATAAGAACTTAATGAAAACAAGGTCCCAAATAGTAAGTCCTCTTCATTTCCCCACAAACCAAATCAAACATTAACAAAAATAATTTTTTTGTACTAAAGTAATCGAATGGACAGAATTCCTTCCCATAAATACCTAACATATTCAAGACAAGCAGCAGCTTACAACTACCACCAAATGTTACTACATGATTGTAAAAAGTTTGCTGGGACACACAATAACCCATCCTAAAAAAATCCAATTTTTAAAGGAATTAAAAGTAGTTTTTTTGTTTATAATCTATTTAAATATCTTTCCCTAAAAACGACAAAAGCCTAAATCGACCTGATTTAACTGTCTGGTTCCTGGTGTTTATATAATGAGCTTCTAAAAGACAAACTTTATTCCATCCAGCACACAACACACCTTTAAGTGTTTTTATGCGTTTCCCCTAGTGACTAGAACACCGACACAACAGACGGAACATGTTGCCTGGGGATTCTGTTTTCAGGGTTTCACACTAACTCACTCCCACCAATTTCCACCAGGAGGGTAACTTCGGAAATATAATCTGAACAATGACACACGTCCTAGTATATTTCAGCTTATGATGTTTATATTTATCGACCCAAAATAATGAAAACCTTTGAGCCCTCTTTGCTGGTTAAGAAGAGAAATAGGAGAGGGCTGTACTTTTCAGCAAAACGTTGAGTTAGGGAACAGTATAAGCTGGCTAGCTATTTTAAAAAATACTGAGCCATGAAATCTGTTTAGTTATGTAAGATCAAGGCAGAAGATTCCTCCCCCCCTTTTTTTTCTTTACCGTAAAAACCTGTACAGGAGTGGTCAATTTTTAGATGAAAGGTCACGGGGCGGGGGGGGGGGGGGGGGAGACAGCATTAGAAGTTGAGATATAATGAAAAGAGAAGAGAGAGAGAGAGAGAGAGAAACAACAAACCCCCAAAACCCAACATCAAAGAAGGAGAAATATAAGGCGTTACAGCATTCCCACATTCACTTTGAAATGAAAGCAAAGCAGAAGGGACATTAAGGGAAAGAGGGCTCCTCGCGTAGTTTTCCCCTCACAGCTCCCGTCTTAAGAACGCTTAAGGGTCGTTGCGGTCGTTGACTAACCACTTCATTAGGCTCGTCCCACCTTCAACCTCAAGGCTTTCGCCTTTATAGACGCAACGCCGCCGGTTCCAACAGAGACGCGGCCGCTCACTGCAACAGAGAGCCAAGGAGACACAGGCCCCAGCTAGTCCCACGCAGCTTCTCCCCGCCCGGACGACAGCCCCGCGCACTGTCGACCCCGAGACCCTCCACGCTGCTCGGGGTCGCCAGAAATGCCACGGCAGGAAGCACCTGCCGCTGCCCGGCCGGAGAGGAACTCCCCGCCGCCGCCTCCCGCCCCACCGCGACGGGCACCCACACCTCGGCACAGATTAGGAAGCCTCAGGGGTGGCGAGAAGGGAGGGCGCACTGCAGGGGAGAAGTCGGACCAGGACTCCAGGTAGCAGTCCGTCTCCAAAAAAGGGGGAGGAGGGTACCCGTGATGTTTGGGGCATGAGTGGAACCCAGAAGCCATCTTGGGATGTGAGGAAGCAACCGCGATGGCTCCAGAGGCTGCTCGCCGCGGGTCCCCGCACGGCTCCCCGCACCCCTGCCCGACCGCGCTCTCCCCGGTGAAACCCCGGGCATCGGGCCGTCGCCGAAGACGGCTCCCGCGGCTTTGTACTCACTCTGCCCTCGAAGTTGTTCTCCTCTACATCACTCATGTCGGCCAGGCGCTCCCCAGAACTAAGTGAGAGACAAGTTTCGCCTTGAGGACCGATGGCCTAAGCAACCCGCCGACTCGAGCGTGCGGAGAAGGGAAGAGTCGGCAACAACGGCCGCCCCACTCCACTCCCACTCGGTCGCAGGTCCCTACAAGATGGCGCCGGCGCCGCCAGAAACCTTCTGGCCACCCTAGTGCGCAGCGTGAGGGGGCGGGGCGTCCCGATGACGTCACTGGCCCCGCCTCCAGCAAGACTCTGTTGCTGTTCCCGCGGATCCGAGAGGTGGCGTGCGCTCCGAATCTGGGCCAGTTGGAACCTAAATCCCAGCGTTGACCTCCCAACGTCAGAATCCTTTTTTTTTTTTTTTTTTTACTTTTTTTTTCTTTATTGATTTTATTTTATTTTTATTTATTTTTTTTATCCTCACCCGAGGACATTTTTCCATTTTTTTTTGTTCAGGTAGAGTGGGAGGGAGAGAGAGGAACAGAGAGAGAGAGAAACATCGATGTGAAAGGGACACATCGACTGGCTGCCACCCACACGACCACCCAGGGCCGGGGACAAACTGCAACCGAGGTACGTGCCCTTAGCGGGAACCGAACCCGGGTCTCTCAGGACTGCAGGCTGACGCTCTAACCGCTGAGCCAAACCGGTCAGGGCTTCTTTATTGATTTTAGAGAGAGAGGGAGAGAGATAGAAACATCGATGAGAGAGGACATCGATTGGCCGCCTCCTGCACACCCCGCACTGGGGATTTGGCCCACAGCCTAGGCATGTGCCCCATGGGAATCGGATTGGCCTCCTCTTGGTACATGGGTCAATGCTCAACCACTGAGCCACACCAGCCGGGCCAGAATCCTTTTTAATGCGTCACTCCTTTTGAAGATTTTCAGTCACCAGATTCCCTTTTATTGACCTTAGCCCCTTTATATATTTTCCAAGTGGATGCTGATGGCACAGAAAAAACTGGAAGCATATCTATAATTAATAGGCTTTTGTTTTGGGATGTTTTCAGCACTATTACCTTTCTTCAACATTTATGCTTTATAGTGCTATCGAAGTTGTACCTGCACAGATGGGGTTATAATGAAAGTTACAGTTCTTTGCCTCACTCCTCTCTGTCTCCAGTCCCTCCTCCCAGAGACAGCTGTGTCAATTTTATTTTTTCATACTGCTTAGCTCCCTACTACTACTTTTTAAAAAAATTGATTTGAGACAGAGAGAGAGAGATGAAGGGAGAAAGAGAGAAACATCCACTTCTTGTTCCACCCATTTATGCACTCATTGGTTGCTTCTTGTATGTGCCCTGAGGGGTGAGAACCCGCAAACTTGGTGCATTGGGAGGACGCTCCTACCAACCAGACTACCTGGCCAGGGACCTTACTTACTACTCCTTTTCGATTTAGATGTTTCCTTATAACTTTGTAACCAAGACCTCCCAATCATGGTAATAATTTCTTAGGTAACTGAGCTTTATTTGTATTTTGCAACTTTTGAGATTAATTTCCTTATACAAATATTTTTTTCCACAATACGTTTTGACAGGGACCTTTAACAATAGTTTTGTGTTAGGAAAGTTAACTGAACATTATTATGAAGATTGCTACCCCTGGGCAAGATTTCAAAATTTGACTGTTTCCTCTATTGATAGAGCTAAACATACAACATTTACTTTTAAAAAGCTTTTGAGCCTGGCTGGTGTGGTTCAACACTGGATTGAGCATCTGTATCATTGACTGAGAGGTCCTGGTTTAATTCCCCATCAGGGCACATGGCGGGGTTTGGGGCTCCATACCAGGTGAGGGGTGTGCAGGACCAGCTGATGGTTGTTTCTCTCTCACTCACACATCAATGTTTCAATATCTCTCCCTTCCTCTTTCTAAAAAAACCAATACAAACTTATTTTAAAATAAATAAATACAAAGCTATTGAAATGTATAATGAAGGAAATCAAGCTTATATCATTTGACTCTCCCAATCGATCCTAGCACCATTAAAAGAATGAAACGGGGGGGGGGCTGTCAATGGGGGAAAAATGAGAAACATCTATAACAAAAACATTAATAAATAAAAAATAAAAATAAATAAAAGCACTTTTGATCTTTTTTTTTTTTTTTTACCCTCACCTGAGGACATTTCTCCATTTTTTGTTCAGATAGAGTAGGGAGGGAGGGAGAGAGACAGAAACATCGACATGAAAGGGACACATCAAGTGGTTGCCACCCGCACGACCCAATCAGGGCCAGGGACAAACTGCAACCGAGGTACATGCCCTTAGCGGGAATCGAACCCGGGTCTCTCTGGACCGCAGGCTGATGCTCTACCGCTGAGCCAAACTGGCGAGGGCGCACTTTTGATCTTTAAAAAAAAAAAAAAAAAAAAAAAGAATGAAACAACCAGACATGATACACCTCTTGATGTGATGCAATAGTAACTATACAACACCTTTTATGAAGTATTATGATCCTCCAAATTCAACTCAAATCTTATTAAGCCTTTGATCTAATCAACAGATTAACAGGAAATACAGAGCATAGAGAAATAAGTTTAAAAACATACACGAAGAGAAAGTAATTAACTTTCACAGGGCAAATAAACTAATTTCCCCAACAGATTAAATAAAACTTGTGTGTGGGGGATGAATTATTAAAGATTAAAAGAGTCTTCAGAGGCATAATTAAATATGTACTTCATGAGCTTGATTCAAGCAAACTATTTTGAAATAGCAAATTTGAATAAGTACTGGGAACTTGATAATATCCCGGGATTAATTTTATTAGGTGTGATAACGGTGTGGTAGATACATTTAAAGCAGCGGTTCTCAACCTGTGGGTTGCAACCCCTTTGGGGTCGAATGACCCTTTCAACATGGGTCGCCTAAGACTATCGGAAAACACATATTTCTGAGGATCTTAGGAACCGAGACACCGCTCCTCTGTCGCCAGGCAGGTCCGCCCACATGCAGATGTGCCCACATACAGATACACCCACATACAAGTACCCGGCGTGATTACATCATCGTGCCAACCCCATCACATACACCCTTTACAAATACAGGTGTATGTGATGGGGTTGGCGCCATAATGTACTTATGCTGACCAGTCACAAGTGTAGAGAGCAGCTACTGTGTAGAAAGCAGCTACTCTGTTAAAAGTAGTTACTGTGTTGAAAGCAGCAGTATTGGAGGTAAAACGACACTTCATGAATTATAATTACTGAGTAAATGTAAAATCATGTTGTGTAAAATCATCAACTACTGCAAAAAAAATATCTGTACTATGGGAACTTAATCTGAACGCTGATCGGTCTTTTTATATTCAGCTGTGGTTGATGTGAATACTGCCCCCTTGTGATAGTAACAGGTATGTAAAAAAAAAACCAGAATTGTAAATCATAGTATACTTTATGAACTGTATTGACTGAACTATGCCATGTATCATCTTTTGTATTATTAAAGCTACTTTTATATATTATTTTCATTAGCAAACCATCCCATGACAATGGATTGTGTAGAGAAGAATGTTAAGAAAAGAATACATAGTGAGGATTTTTTACAGTATGGTTTTACCTCAATAATTACAGCAGGAATTGAGAAACTGCATTGTGTTATTTGTTGTGAAGTTCTATTAGCCGAATCTAGGAATCTGAACAAACTAAAACACCATTTTGATAGCAAGCATCCGAGCTTTGCTGACAAGGATACCAACTATTTTAGAAGCACAGCTGATGGACTCAAGAAAGCCAGACTTGACACTGGTGGAAAGTACCACAAACAAAACTTAGCAGCCGTTGAAGCTTCATATTTGGTGGCACTAAGAATCACCAGAGCCGTGAAACCTCACACCATTGCTGAGGATTTACTGTTGCCAGCGACCAAAGACATCGTTCCAGTTATGATCGGAGACGGATTTGTTACAAAATTGAGTGCAATTTCCTTATCTAACGACACTGTTTGCAGAATAGATGACATGTCTGCTGAAATTCTTTTTTTTATTTAAAAAAATTTTTAAATTATATCTTTATTGTTGAATATTACAGATGTTCCTCATTTTTCCCCCATTGACTCCCCCTCCTCCCCACTTCCGCCCCCCTCCTGCCTTTTCCCACACTGTTGTCTCTGTCCATTGGTTATGCATACATGCATATAAGTTCTTTGGTTTATTTCGTCCCACCCTCCAACCCCCGTTTCCTTTGAGGTTTGTCAGTCTAGCAACCAATTTGTACTTCTTAATCCCTTCACCTTTTTTACCCATTCCCCCATCCCCCCTCCCATCTGGCAACCAACAAAATGTTCTCTATATCTATGAGAATGTTTCTGTTCTGCTTGTTCATTTTGTTTGTAGATTCAACTGTTGATAGCTATGTATTCGTTACCATTTTGTTTGTTCATATTTTTTATCTTTTTCTTCAAGAAGACACTTCAACATTTCATATAATAATGGTTTGATGGTGATGAACTCCTTTTCCTTGTCTGGGAAACTCTTTATATGGCCCTCAATTTTAAATGACAGCTTTGCAGGATAGAGTAATCTTGGTTGTAGGTTCTTGCATTTCATCACTCTGAATATTTTTTGCCACTCCCTTCTGGCTTGCAAAGTTTCTTTTGAGAAATCAGCTGACAGTCTTATGGGAACTCCCTTGTAGGTAAATAATTGCTTTTCTCTTGCTGCTTTTAAGATTCTCTCTTTGTCTTGAACCTTTTATCTTGGTTGGGCCTCTTGGGGTTCATCTTGTTTGAGACTCTCTGTGCTTCCTGGACTTGTATGTCTGTTTCCTTCACCAAGTTAGGGAAGTTATCTGCCATTATTGTTTCAAATAGGTTTTTGATTTCTTGTTCTCTCTCTTCTCCTTCTGGTACCCCCAAGATGCGAATGTTGGCACGCTTGAAGTTGTCCCAGAGGCTCCTTACACTATCCTCTTTTTTTTTTTTTTTATTCTTTTTTCTTTTTGCTGTTCTGATTGGGTGTTTTTTGCTTCCTTATATTCCAAATCGATGGTTTGCTCCTTGGCTTTACCTACTCTATTGAATCTGGGTAAATTATTCTTTATTTCAGTTAGTGCCTCCTTTATTTTTGATTGTGCATCCTTCATTTCTGACTGGTCCTTTTTTATGCTCTTGAGGCCCTCACTAAGTTCACTGTGGTTCTCACTAAGTTCACTGAGCATCCTTATAAGTAG